TGAGCCACATCCCCAGTCCAGCCCTTCAGTTTTATTAAATAGCTGTTTATCAGTTTAGATGATTAAAATAGAACACAATACAGTAACAATACAGCAGATACCTGTGTTTAAAATAAATACCATTATAATTTTACAGTTCCTTTCTTTCTCCTTCATACATAACCACTTACAAAATTATTTTTTMTTTAATATTTTTAGTTGTTGATGTTCCCAAWACCTTTATTTTTGTTTAATTTATTTTTTTTATATGGTGCTGGGAATTGAACCCAGTGCTTCATGCATGCTAGGCAAGCACTCTTACCACAGGGTCTGACAACCCTACCTGATTTTCCTCTTAAAAAAATTTAATCTTCTTTCTTTAAATAATTAGCCATTGAGTTTTACATAATTTTAAACTTCATACTTTATTTGGAAAATAGCTATTATTCATTTTCATGGCTGTATAACATTCCGTTGTTCTGCTTTTTAAGAGCATTTATGTTGTTTCCAACTTTTATTATGCACAGTGTTGCTGTGAACTATTTATTTATCATCACCACCATCATCATCATCATTTTTGAAGTATTGGAGATTGAACCAGGGCCCTCACACATTCATGTTAGGCAAGTGCTTTACCACTGAGCTACATTCCTGGTCTTTGCTGTGAACATTACTAACCAGGTTTCCTGGAATATATGTATAAGGTTTCTTTTTTTTTTTTAATATTTATTTCTTAGTTGTAGGTAGGCACAATATTTTATTTATTTATTTATTTTATTTTATTTTTTTAAATTTATTTTTATGTGGTGCTGAGGATCGAACCCAGGGCCTTGCATGTGCTAGGCAAGTACTCTACCGCTGAGCCACAACCCCAGCCCCTGTATTAGGTTTCTCTAGGACAGTATCTTTTTTATTTATTTTTATGTGGTGCTGAGGATTGAATCTGGGTCTCACACATGGCGAGGCGAGCACTCTACTGCTGAGCCACAACCCCAGCCCTAGGACAATATCTTTCAGAACTTTTTGACCCCCAGTCTATTTTGCATTGCAATCCATGACACACATAGATATGTATATTTACATATGTTTATCTGTATGAACAAAATTAAAGAAATGTGCCTTGAATATTTCATATTCATGAGTATGTACTTGTTAAATGCAAATGTTAACTTCTAAACTGGTTTTGTGACCCACTAGGTCTCTAGCCCAGCACCATCAGGCATCTGCCTGTGGGTCAGGCATTGGAAGTACAACAGGAACTATTGGAAGTACAACAGGAACAGCCTGGAGTGGGCTGTTCTGTATTTCCTGCTGCATTGTAGCCTACCATCAGTTCTCAGGAGTAGGGCCAAGCATTCTAATCCTGTCAGGTATTGTAGAAACTGCATCAGTACATGGTGCAGATGTACTGTATTTAAGTAAGACTGGTTTATGCTTCCTAGGACATATGTCCTTAGGTTACAGGGCTGCTAGAGTGGCAGTGGCTCTCTTGGAATGATATCCTTAATATGCCTTTCTCTTTACTGGGATAGCTCCACTACAAAATTGGTTGACCTCTGTGGGCACAAGTGCCATCCTGAAAATTTTCCATAAGAATTTTAATCCCCCTGGTGCTAAAGATGGAACCCAAGTTCTCATACATGTCAGGCAAGGATTCTACCACTGAGCTATATCCCCAGTCGTGTTCTTTCATCTTAAAAGCTTTCTAAACTGTTTGGAAATCCAAGGTTTCCTTCCATGGTACGGTTGGGACTTGCAAAGCTTATTGGACATTCTGGAGGTACAAATGGGGTTGCTGACCTGGTCTTTACTGTGGGGTGATGTCAGTAGATTTAGAACTTTATCCCCCCACACACATTGCCCCAGTCCTAGGAATTGAACTCTGTCACACTCTACCACTGAGACAGGGTCTTGCTAAGTACCCTGGCTGACATTGAACTTGAAATCTTCCTGCCTCAGCCTTCTGAATTGCTGAGAGATATATGCCACCATGCTTGGCAAGAACTTTACTTTTTGACTGATCAAATTCCTGATAAGAATCTGTATATTATTCCTGGGGCATCCAACACTGGCTGCCAGGAATTAAATGAGGGAAGACAGGTGGGGGAGGAAGGATGTATCTGGTTTTAGTATTTGTAATATGCTGTCTCCAAATTCCCCTGGTGCTGTGGCTGTGGTGGTGGTTTTATAAAATGCTCAAACCCCCACCTTATCTGGTTATATCTGTGTGTGTGTGTGTGTGTGTGTGTGTGTTGCTGGGGATTGAACCCAGGGCCTTGTGCATGTGAGGCCAGCAGTCTACCAACTGAGCTGTATCCCCAGCCCAAATTATCTTCTATTCTAAGAGACATCCAGTTAAATTCAGTCTAGTGTGAAGGAGGCACAGCCTCAGCAGCTGGGAGTAGAGGAAGAAAATGCTTATTGCTACTCCACATCTTTACCTCTTATTTTCTTTTTTTGCTCCCTTCCCTTTCATTTCAGTTTAAGAGGAATTTGCTGCTTTTAGCCTAGCCTTTTTGTTTTTCCTACTACTGGCTTGTGAATTGGTCTTTTTAGGTTGTACAGAGAAACTTCTAATTGTTACTCATCCATCTGGTTTTTTTAACCTTCAGTTTTATTGCTCTGTCTCTTTGAGTTTTTCTCATACTCATGGAGTGTGTGTGTGTGTGTGTGTGTGTGTGTGTGTGCGTGCACGCGTGTGCGTGTTACCATGGAATGAACTCAGTGCTCTACCACTGAGCCATACCTGCCATACCCTCACCCTTTATATTTTGAGATAGGGTTTCACTAAATTATACAGGCTGAACTTGAACTTGTGATCCTTCTGCCTCAGCATTCCCAGTAGCTGAAGTGTGCACCACTGTATCTGGCATAATCATGCACTTTTTAAAAAAAAAATTCATTATTTTTAATTTTATATATTTATGTTTATGGTGCTGAGGATTTAACCCAGGGACTTGTGCATGTGAGAAAAGCACTGTACCAACTAAGCTATATCCTCAGCCCAGAAATTCCCTTTATTTTTAACAGAACATAGGAAGGGAGTAAAGTTAGATGGTTCTGTTCTTTCTGTCTCATATTTGACCCAGAGGTCACTTTTCATTCCCTCACATGTCTAATTAACAAAATCTGTTGTACTAGAATCAGATATTTAAAGATGTTGTTTTWAAATCTTGTTTAATAACTTCTTACCAACTGTGATGTTTGTAAAATTTGATTCTCACATTTCCTTGTACAGTTACTTGGCTTTCAACTGTGGTGTGAGAGGCCATCCTATCCTTTCTCTGCTGATGGGTGATGCCAGTGCTCCTATGAGTCATGGGAGACTCTTTCTGGCTCTGTACTACACAGAGTTAGGGTAGTTCCCACACTGGGCAGTTTTTTTTTACTTCGATCTTCAGTGACTTTGAAGTCAGAATAGGCTATGAATTCTAGCTCTCCAAACATTTCCATTTTGAAATTAAGGCATTGCCAGTTGAATCACTTGAGTAGCAGATACTTTCAAAAGTCACTAGTAATCTATACATTTCCAATTCAATTGCTTTATAATCGGCTCTTTTGTATCAGGGATATGAAAAAGCAGTGCTGGTGTTCAGGGTTACTAGACTAGGAAGAAGAAAAATTTTAAATGGATCTGATGCTTTTGTCTTTAAAAATAAAAACAAAAGAAAAACTCAGTAATATGGATRTTCCAGACATTTTGTAAATGAATTCTCATGACAATGTTAAGTCAGGCAGTTTTTAAATAAGCCATAAAATTACACTATTTTATGTATGTATTCTGTGTTTGTTTCACCATAGGATATATGATTGGATGCCTGAACAACCAAATATATTCCAAGTGGAGCAGTTGGAACGCCTGAAGCAGGAATTGCCAGAGCTTAAGAGCTGTTTGTGTCCCACTGTTAGCCACTTTGTTCCCTCCTCTTTGTGTGGGGAGACTGATATCAATGGCATTGATAATGTGGAGAATGCTTAGTTTTTATTGCATAGGCCATTTTGGGGCATGCACCGCTGTTCTGGATAATCAGTTTTCATCATTGAGCATTGTTTATGCCTTTTGGGTTTCTCAGTCCAATGAAGCAATAATGAAGTATTTTACTCTTTCACTACAGTTCTTGCAAAAATTTCAAATATGCTATTTAAATCACTTGGCCAGGTATAATTTCCAGTCAGTCTCTAGACAAGGAGAAAATTTATTGTTTGGTAAATATTTTTAAACTAAATATTTAAGCCTATAATGTTAAACAAATCTTCATTAAAAGCATAGCACTTTGAAATTAACTATATAAATATTTCATATTTACTCTTAGAGCTTTTCATTTGATCAGGTCTGAAATCTTTAGCACTTGAGGAAAGTGACTACGCATAATTATACCTGACCATGGAACAAATAAGTACCTCAAATGCATGCATTTGCACTGGTGATTCCAACTGCACAAATGTTTGTGCCATCTGTGTATATAGGTATTTTTTACATGGATTGACATACACATACACCATTTTCATTCAGTATGAACCTTGAGGCTGCTGCCATTTCCCTCACTTAACCAAACCAGCCTGGAGGTGAGCCTTGAAACTCATTTCATCTTTCAAAAGTTGTTTTGCATAAATGTTAAAATTTCAAAATGCTGCAGGGTAATGTAATGTATAAAATATTAGAAGTATGTGTTACGTATGTAGTAGAGTAGATCACAATATATAAATTTGATTCAATGCATGCTTTAGGTTTTGAGCATGAAATTATACATGTTTACTATTCAGTCCTTGCATCTGTGGTGCTAGGTAAGTGTGAGAAGATGTCAAGGACTGAAAATATTTTGTTGCCTAAAACAAACAAAAAACAACAAAAAAAGCTAAGGCATTTAAAGTATGCTTATTTTAAGAGTCTCTCACTACCTATTTCACACTGTTGCTTTGTGGGTTTGTTTTGTGTGCATATTGTACAGTAGTTAAATGTCCATGCAGAAAAATAAATGTCCTGGATTCTTACATTGGTTTTCTTTATTGGTTAATATGTATCATGCATGTAATTTATTTAGAAATGTGGAAGATCTTACTGAGTGTATATGTGCATGTTTTTAAGATTATACTAAGGTTGCTTTCATTAGAAGCAGATTGTATTGACATCTGTAACTTAAGAATGAATGTTAAATAAAATGACAGATTTATTTTCTTCATTATAAAATGGAATTTCAAGGAGTTATTACTTTTAGAATGGTTTTATAATGTTATTATGAGAAATTGATATTTAGTGTTTACCCTAAAGAGATGGCTAATTTCATCTACCTTCATTTACTGTTTTTCACAAGGCAGTTTATTCATACATTGACATAATTTTGGTAGTGTCTGAAAACCTAGAACTTGGAAATTACACATCATCTTTTTATTTTTTAAACTAAGCAATGCACTTTTGGTTAGATCTTAGTTGTGTAAAGATAGGGTTGGAAATCCTATGGTATTTTGACATTGATATTTAGTGAAAAATAGTCTATAAGGATTCTATATACATTTCCCACATGGAATGGTATTTTTCATAATTTTGTTGTGAATTGGACACTTTTAGAAAACTGAAGGAATTAGTGTACTTTACCTACAAACCTTTGTACAATGCAGTGACCATTCCCTAATAGAACCTGATGTATGTGTGTTTCTGTTTCCATCCTATTGCTCTTCCTGGGCCTCTTCTTCCATTTCCACTATGATGACTTGGGAACAGAGGGGAAGCAGATCATCATGGGGGTGGGCACAAAAGAGATGTCAGGAAAGGAAAGGGGAGTATGTGCTGCCAAACAATTTGCTGAGAGGAGCTTATAGTAACTACTTACGATACACTTTACTCATTTCCTAGCCACTCATTTAATTTTCTATTTCTTCCTGACTTACAAACCAGTGAGAGTAGAGGGTTAAAACAAATGTTTTTAGGGCTGAATCCAGGCCTCTGTGTCACCCCCTGTTAACACTTAAACTGTGCTCCAGCCATGTAGTACTTGGGCTAGAACCTGCACATACCATGACCCCACATTACCCAATCTGTGCCCATTTGCCCTCTGCCCAGAAGTCCTGTTCTTCCCAGGCACGTTCTCCCTGGTACACTCATTTCTATTTGCGCCAACCACTTTTCCCTTCTGTGCCCTTGCCAAACCCCATCAGAGGAAGGAATMCAATTTTTCAACAGATGATATTACGTTCTCATGTTCATCATGCTGTGCCTCATACTACATTCTAGGTAGATGTAGTTGATGTTTGACCTACCAGACTGCAGCCTCTTCAAGGGCAAGGTTCTTTATTACTAATTATTTTTATTTCCATAGTACATGGAACTTAGTAGATAAAAAAATGTTGGAATTACTGGGTTAATATAATTTGTATCAAATGTCCTTTTAAATTAAGAGACATATTTAATATGAATGTAAATTTTGAATTGGTCTACATTTTGACAATTGGGACAGCTTATTGATATCAATTTTGAAATGTAGAGTTAATGTTAAATTATTTTATACTTTCTGGAAGTAGAGTGAAATGTTTGATAAAATGCCGCCATTGTTCTCTGGTATTTTCTCCTCTCTGGGATTGTGTTCTGTAACTGCTGAATGTGAGGCCCACGGTTCACTTCAAAGTGGGTAGTGTCTGAGGGCTCCAGCAGCTGGCTTCCTGCTGCCACGTACTTCTTTCCATTTTTGTGTGACACTTGTCTCTTCTCCCCTCCAAAGCCACACTTCCGCCTACCTCAGTGCCACTTTCCTTGTCTGAAATGCCTTCTCTGCCTTTCATCAGTATTGCGCTTGGGAGCCACCTCCTCCATAAAACTTGCCTCAGCTTTTGATTCGAATCCTGATGGAAACAAGTGCAGACATCCTCTAAATCTCACTACTACGTTTTTCTGCTGGGTTAATAATACCAGAGAGGTTATCTGATTTACAAGGTTGGAACTAGAACCTGGATTTCATGACTTTTAATCCTGCATTCTTAAACTACGCTGCCTTCTGAAGTCTTGTGGCACTTGGCATGAACTTTTTTACAGTCCAGCTCTCTTGTGTACTTTCTATACTTTCCCTAGTAAGATTGTAAGCCCCATAAGGGCAGGCACTACTATGCTTAGTTATGAACTAGATAAATAAACAGTGGTGGCAACAATCCTATTTTCCTAACTCTGGTGGTTTCACAGTAAACATAGTTTTGTGAGGCGTGCTTGACTATTGTCTGGAGTCTGTCTGCTCGCATGTTTGTGTGTGCATGTGTTTATATATTTACATCTGGAGTTTTTCCTCTGCCCCAATTGCTTGGAGTCAAGTATTTGACATGTTACCCTACCCAATTTCTGCTTCACTCTGAATGAAGAGAATTACCAGAATCCTTATTATTTCATTGATTTAAGTGGGACATAAGAAGTTGCTTTGGTTAGAACTTGTGTGACCTATGGAACAGGTTTTCTGTCTTGGTGATTTCTCTGTAGCTGTGACTGATTTGTGTCTTCCACAATATTACTGGTTTGATTCTCTAGGTTGATAATGGAGTCCTGTTAATTTAGACTTGTATAATTGATTTACTCCTGGGGTTATGTATTTTGGGGGTGGAAAGTTATTTATATTAGAAAATAAACTATTATTTTTGCATCCATCATTGGAAATGCATTCAAATATAACCTCTTAGTGGGCTTATACAGTTAGAGAAACAGATTTGAGATGCTTAAATGCAAGAGAGCTTATTAAGACTGCCATACCAAATGTGTGTTGGAAGTAATGGAGAGGAAATCATGGGTTGGAACAAAGACTTCATGAGCTCTCGAGCTCTTACAGAACAAGGTGGTGATCTGGACAGTTGTGAAAGCAGTTTGAGTAACTATGGCCAGGGTGTAGTTGTAGTGTTTTTTGAGGAATGAAGGAGCCATTTTGACAGTAGAGAAGATACTGTGAATACCAGATAGAGTCTTGGTGTATGTGTAGGAGAAAATAAGCTTGTTAATGATTTTAAAGAAGGAAAGTGACATGAAGGGGAAGTGTTTAAAAATGAGGAAAATAGTTCAGGAATAATAGAAGAAGTACTTTAATTATTCTGTCTAGTCCTCTATTATATTTATCCAATATACTTCTATCCATTTCCTCAAATGGAAAACAGAAATGTAGGTGGGTGAACTTCAAAGACTAATTTGAAAATCCAAATGACATAATTTCAAAGGAGGAAAGTAATAAAGGCTTAGCAAAAGTTCAGCAGTATCTGATGATTTCAAATGTCTCTCTGCAACCCAGACCTCTCCCCCAAGTTCCAAATTCACCTATCCAGCCCTGTCCCCACCTCCACTTAGAATGAGCGGTCATCTCTTGGCTTACTGCACTTCAGCGAGGCCCTTTATCCTTCCCTGTTTTCATCACTCTGCTCCCATCCCGCCCCTTCCCCTGTGCTGTGGCACCTGGACTCGATATTTCTCCTAGTGAATCCATATTCTTAATGTGCCTTGTATTATGATATGTGATAGGGAAGTTGCCCAGATTTTTTWAAAAATTTCATAACATATCTTTGATAACTTGAGAATCAGCTTGTCAAAAGACAGAAAAATCTAAGTCCCCATGGCATTTTGGTCTGCTTGGATTGATTGGCTATGTTGAAAATATGAGGGATAGATTGTTTAAAAATATGATGTTCTATTCAGAACACTGTATGTCTGATTTATTCAAAATGTTTTCCAGTAAAATGAGTTTTTGTTTATGTGTTGTTTGCTTTTTAAAGTTCATTTTTAGATTTTTAAGTTTTTGGTACTGAGGATTGAACTCAGTGCTTTATCTGAGCAATATCCCTAGATTTTTTTCCCCCCCAGACACGTAGTTACTCAGGCTGACCTTAAACTTACTGAGCTGCTGCTGTAACCTCTCAAGAATTGCTGGCATTGCAGGTGTGTTCCACTGTGCCCTCCTATTCTTAGAATTGAAAATAATACTCAAAATAGGTTTTTAAAATTTTGTTTTACATTTCCTCAAATACTCAGTTACAAGCAGTAAATTTTTGTTAATTGGTCATAGCTCTAGCTACATTGCTGAATGCATTTTTTTGTTTCTGTTTTTAAAAATATATTTTTAGTTTTTGATAGACATTTATTTTTATATGTGGTGCTGAGAATCGAACCCAGTGCCTCACATGTGCCTAGCAAGTGTGTTACTGCTGAGCCATAGTCCAGCCCCTTGTTTCTAATTTAAAAAATTATTTCATTAGCTAGTAGCAATCGCAGGCACCCTTGTTTTGTTTTGTTTTGTTTTTCCTGATTATCATGGGAATGGAAGCTGTGCAAACTCTTCTGTTTCTTTTAGTAAAAATGTGATAAGAATTTGAGTTGCCTATTAGACATCTCAGTTGAAAGGAGGGATAAGTGTGTATTGTGTTGCATTTGAGGTAATTTCCTCTGTTCCAATTTGCTRGTATACTGTTTACTGTTTATTTTAGACACTAATTGAGCCATACATTTTTTCCAAATTTTCTAATTGATTCTTCTTTATGTTCATCCAATTTTATTTCATTCCTTTTTTAAAAAATAGTTCAAAGTCTTTTCTTAAATTAAAGTGTAACTTCTATTTATCTCTTTGAATACCCTCAACTTTTGTTTTAAATCTTTTTTAGGATGTTCAGATTGTTGATTTTGTTGGTTTTTCTCTTAGCATGTCATTTCCTCATGTGTGTTGTCATTTTGTGATTGTGTTTTTGTCTCTTTCCTTCCCTCTTCTAACTTCTGCCTTTCTATTGCCTCACYCGAAAGCTCCAAAACCTTGATCTGAACCCAGTTAAATGATTTATAACTGGTAGTTGGTGAAGGACACCTGGGACATTGCACATCACCTTAGTGTCATCAGATGGCTTCATTTTGGTTTTTGGCCCAAGAACATTTTTATATTCTATTTTGGTCAATTTTGTTTTATCTTTTTATAATTTGTCCATTTTTCTTGGGCATAATTTTCTACTATGAGAGGCAGAATCTGTTGCTTACACCCAAGAAAATT